AATTTCTGAAAATCTCTAAACAATTCTCTGAAAAACTTTGAAAATCTATGAATATCTATGAAAATCTATAAACTGTTACCATGAAAATTTTTGAAAATCACTGAAATACTCTAATAATCTCTGAAATTTTACTGAAAAAATCTCTGAAAAACTCTGAAACGTGTCCGAATTTCTAGAGTTTTTCAGGACAATTTTCAGACTTTTTCAGAGAAATTTTCAGAGAATTTCAGAAAAATTTTTTTACCAGGGCGGTATCTCTGCAAGTTCAGATGGCTAGAAATGTCCCATGTGTATGTACATGTGGAAGTACATATACAAATGCAAATTGTAGCTGAAATAAATACCTTTAATTTTTTTTTCCTCTCTTTGTCTTCCTCATTTTCTTCTACATCTGACATATCATCAAATATTTCATTAGTATCTGCTTTGGTAAATTTCAGTCTGCCTTTATTCGACTTCTCCTGTACGTCCGTAATGCTTGCTATATAAATACACATACATAAATACATATATACACACACATATATTCATTAATTGTTATACACGCTTTTACTTGCAATTTACTTGCAAAAATTCATAAGCAGGGGCTTAGCTCTGAAAAAGTACATTTCAATTAATGTGCGGAACAACGACAACCAAATGACAAAGACTGGGATTATTGCAATATGAAAATAATTAAATGAATGAATTACCTATTTTTTGGTACACTTACTTCCCAGGAAGAGAATCTGTGCCATGAAATATTTTCCATTATTGTGATCATTTTCATCACCATCCGTCCATTTCACATCATAGAGGTTACGTTTGTTAAAATCGTTAACATTTTTTGGATGAAAATTACGAATAGCGCTGGTTTTAACTATCACTATCTTCTTGTCGTCAAAAAAACGTACTTGGGCGTGTGAAATTTTCATTATTATACACTTTTTTTCACTGCAAAATGTAATATTGGATCAGCCACTCAATCGTGTGATCGATGAGTTAATTGTTGACTGTTCATTGTTTTACGGATTCTCGTTTCGTTTTAAGTGCGAACGCCAGTTGCACTTGAGCAATTCTCTCGACTGGTGTACACAAACACGCACTGTAGTATATCAGCGCCATACCACACACACTGGTATAAAATACGAGAACTGCGAGAGACACGAAACATATACGCCATATCAGATCATATCAAGTGGACTTGGAGAAAGTGGTTTAATTGGAAAATCGTTTATTTGTGAAAAGAATTTCCATACACACATCGTCGATTTGTATGTAAGCCGAATTGCAGAAAAATAAAACTGGACATTGGATGTAATTCGTAAGTGCACGCGCCACGCGATAATACATAATAACACGGAATTCAACGTAGTACGTATGTGATTCGAGAGTACGTTTCTTAACTTTAAAGGTAAGAATATTTCAAACATACATTCGATAATTAATTTGTTAAAATTAAAAATTATTAATTTGCCAGTGAATAGTCAATATTTAATGGCAAAATTTTGTTATAAAAGGCGTTGACTCCAACAGAGTACGTAACCTTACCGAAGTATAAGAATATATATACATATATATATATATATATATATATATATATATATGTATAGACATTTTATATATATATAATTTTGTATCATATATAGAATTTAATTATACCATTCAGAAAAAGAATTACAGATTTTTTGGTATACAGTTTAAGGTCGATTTACTATAGAAATATATGTCAGAAAACCAATAGCGAATTTCCAATACATTTTAATCAGTTGATATATGTAATAATAAATAAAAATACATGCGTATATAACATTTTATTTTAAATTATTCATACAATTACAAGTCATTTATTCATAACAAAAGGGTAATTGATTATTGTATTCTTGATTTTATAAAAATTTTTTCGCTCTTATTATCGAACAACGAAGCATTGCTTTCCGATATTTTATATAATAAACGTAAAATATTATGCCAAAAAATTTTAAACTGTATATGCTTTATTAGGTCCATGATGAATCATCTATAAGCTTACAAAATTTTCCAACATTTCTATCAAATTATATTCTGCTTAAAATTAAGAGAATATATATAATATATATATTCCTACTATTATATTTTATATATTTTTATATATCATGTGATTAAAATTATACGAATTCTTGTCATATGTTTAGGTTTTCTTGCAATAAACGTTTTGTATATGTAAAATGAATGAGGATAATCAGAATCATAAATACAAGTCTTGGCTACAACCATTGCCTGCATGCGAAAAGATGCCACGCAAGACAATGTATCGTCATAATCTTTTAAAGAAACGAAAAGTAGCTGAAAGTGAAGCTGCATGCAACAGTGCGGTTGTACCCGGAACACATGATGAGGTAAAATTCAAAATAATACTATAATCTTAAATTCACTTATATTTAGTATGTATATATGAATAATAATGATATTTTCTACTCCTTTTTTTAAGAATTTGACACATAATGCAATCGGTATGGAAAATGAAAATAACGTTCAAAATACTTTCGAAATTGAAGAGCGAATCACAGAAGAGAACAGCGAAGAGAGCATGGAAGAAAATGAAGAAAATATCGAAGATAATATCGAAGTGAATAGCGTAGGCGAAGAAGAATCAATCGAAGATGATGATATTTATAATATAAGTAATCGTTCGTATGATTTATCCGAAAATGAAATGCAAAACGAAAATGAAGAATGTCTATATCTTGCCGAAGAACAATTACTTTTAAATGAAAGTAATGTAACTTTTCGAAATTTAATTGA